TTCCCCGTTTCCATCAGTTTCCATCTTCTTTCCTTTTCTTCCTCTTTTTTGTGCTTATCCGGCTTTCTTTATTCTCTTCCCTTCTTCCTCTTCTTTCTTCTTCCTTACGCACCGCGACCGTCATACTGACGAGGTTCAGCCGTAGTGTGGAGTTAAGACGTATATGATTTAATGGGCCGAAATGTCTTATCTCAGTCTCACCACACCAACCTTCATTACTTTCTCTTGCTTTGCGCATTCCACCATCTACATTTCTAGAGTTGACCTGGAAGCTGCAATCTACTTGGCACTAATTGCCCTGACTCAATTATTGTATTCAGCCTTCTTTGGATCGTAAAAAAAAAGCAGATTTTTTTTTCCAAATCTTTTTCCAAAGCATTTATCGTGAAACTATTGCCGTCCAGGGACGAGTTTGACTTTTTTTTTGTACAAATTTCGCATAAATGCCCTTTCTCTCACTGGCCGCGATCGCTTCGTTTCTCAACCAATCCTATAGTCCCTGGTTTTATCACTTCTCGTACCTTTTTTAATCTTTTCGAGCGTTTCATTATAGCCCCCATCAGACCTTAGCTGTCCGAGTTTTATCACTCTTAGTACTCTAAAAACCGTTTTTTTATCCAAAAATTTAATTATAGTCCAATATTTGTGCACTGATTTTTACGTCCTCAAACTACAAAAGATGGAAGTGTTTTTATGCGTTTTTTGCATTTATGCAATGCAAAAACGCGTGTTGTCGAGATTTGTGTGGTGTATGTGTGTGTGTGTGTGTGCGTGTGTGTGCATGTCTGTATGTGCGTCTGTACCGATTTTTCATCTCGAGACCTACAAAAGCTACAAGGCTGAAATTTTGTTAACTCAGTCTACAGGAATGTACAGGCCCCGTCCCCAAAATGGACACCATTGCCCATATGGTTTCAGCGTACGGGCTGGCGAAGATTTTTTGCGGGTAAGTTGCTAACTTGGGAATCATAAAAGCTAGAAAGTTGAAATTTTAGAGGAATGTTTTCTCACAATCGTGGTGGCCAGTCTCAATTCTTTTAGCTAGAAGCATCTGCGGAGAAAAAAAAAACAGTGCCATTAGTGACAAAAACTTGCGAAGAGCTGTATAAAAAACGCATTTTCGCACCGGCAATCGGTACGCTGGCCATTTATTTTTATAATTGAAATACGTTGATTGCTAGAAATCTGGTTCTTCGGCTATGTAGCTGGTAACTTTCCCATTCTCTCTAGCCGATACTTCATCATTGCCTGAGGGTCAGCCTGCTGGCGATCCTAACGAAAAATTCGTTTCTTCTCCTGTGGAGTTTTTTATAAAAAATCATGGTCTATGCTGCCAGAATTCCAGTTTCCTCCTCTCTATAGTTTGTTTTAAATACAAGGCTTACTTTTGACAAGATTGAAACTAGCGTTTTAGTAACTGATTTTGCAGTTGGAGAACATAATGCAACTTCGGTTGGTGCTTTTGGCGGTGCTTTCGTGCCGACGAAGGAAGAAACGACTACGATCAGGCAGGTTTCGCCGACTTTTTTTCGAGAAGGTAATAGCCAAAAAAAAAACACTGTTGGATGCATTGATGGATCTGAACCTCTGCCTTTACAGATTGCTTGCGAATATTGGCCCCGAAGTGAATATTCATACAGCAACCAGTGAACGTAAGCTCCTACTTTGATACTTTATTCAGCTAAAATTTTAAGCCCGTCTTCCCAGCTGTACATCTGGCAACTTTGCCACTTGCTTTGACCAGTGCTGCATCGTTTGGTAGTCAGCTTATTGGGAACTTTGACGCTCGTTTTCCCTTCTGAAAGGATTACGGGCCCAAGTGACTCTTCCGACGGAAATACTTGGCAAGGTTCCAACAGTCTGAAGATGTAATTGGTGGTAAAGAAAAAGTCGGAACAAGATAGAGGAGAGGAACAAAGGTGCTAGTGAGGAGTTCGAAAAGATTAATGGACGGATGCGTGGCAACGTAGGCCCAGGTCGCCAGGACACTTCCTCGCAGGCAGTCCTCGAGCGACTCCAATCCACATCCACCGAGCTCTCGAGGGATTTATAGCCGGTCCACAGTACTTTTGCAGTACCGGCATTTCTTATCCCCGAGGATGTCACGGATTCATAATGGTGACTCCTGTTGGAGGTGATGGATGATGTTAGTAATGATATATATGTTAAATATAAAAGCCTGTTAAAAAATAACCAGTTGAATGGGAATGTTTCGAACCAGTAAATCATGTACACATTCCTATTCAGCACCACAACTGGACCTCGTCAGTACGACGGCTGGGATTTTAACAAATGTGTTGGAGTTATTGTAAGATGTGTATAAATTTTGTGCTAGAGAACGTTGTACTAAATATTACTACCTCATCTACTTATCGACTCTGTGGGGGGTTCTTGCTTAATTACACAATTTGAAAACTCAGTGAAACGAGTTAATATGATTTTAAAAAATACGTTATAATGATATTGGATTAGATTTGTACGGCATGGCCTTCAGCATTCGTGCTTATTTTTCCTTTCAGAATGCTTGAAGCGCAAATAATTTTCACACCTCATTGACTAAACT